ACACACACACACACACACACACACACACACACACGCAAAATTTAGGTTCCATGAAGGCAGAGACTTTTAACCATTTGCTAATTGATGTGTCCCCAGTACCCAAAACTGGATCTGGGAAGTACGTGATCAGTGCCAATAAATACTTGTGATTTTATTTGTCATAGGAATTCTTCTGTAGCAGGCAGCTGAAGAAGCCTTTAACCATGGATCTGTTAGACCCTCTTGGCTATTGAAAATATTTTCTCAGAAAAAAAATGTGTTTAAATGCATAAAGTAAAATATATATGTGTTTACAAAGAAACCACTTAAAGTACAGTTATCAAAAATATTGTGGCTATAATGCATTAGATAACACAACCCTAGGATGGGTCTAGTAATTACCACCATTTAAAGTAATGAGTATAAGCGATCTTTTGAGCCATCACCATAAAGTATAATGTAGTGATTTGTATTGATGAAAAATTCATGGATCCTCTAGTTGTTTAATACCTATGTTCATAATTAAAGGAAATTATCTTTCACTTGAGGTTATTAAACACCAATGAAATATATTTTTCCTATCCAAGTTGACAGATTCCAACAACCTCTCACTTTCAAATTGATAATCCTGAGTGGTTTACTGGGCTGAGAGTGGGAGAAATCCTTAGAAACATATTCTAGACTCAAAGTGAATGGCCACAGAAAACTGCCTGCCAGGTGAGAAAACACTAGATTAATCCCTTATGATCATTCACAAATTCTTTATCTGTTAAATAATACTGGAATAAATATGTTAAGACATATGCTAGAAAAATGCAATTAAAAATGTCTTTTGTGTGCATTTCCAGTGTGCAAGACAGTACGTTAGGGACATAACTGAAAATAATAAGATAATACATATATAAATGCATTTTCGATGAATCCTCAGAGAACTGCAAAAATGGAAGAGTGAACTCCACAAGGAAGCCTAATAATTTGGGAAAGGTTGGGCACATAGTGATCTTTACTTTTTAACCACAAATTTTCATATTTCTGCAATAAAATTACTTGGGGGACATAGTAAACCTGAAGATTTAGGATCTCACCATGGAGATTCTCCATCAGGCTGGCATTGCACCCTAGAACTGATATTTTTCCATGGTCTTCCAAGATGATTCAGTGGAAGTTACCCTCAGATTGCATTTTGAGACAGGGTGATTTAAAGCTGTCTGTCTGGATCAGATCATTAGCTGTTTGCAGTGATGGGAAGTTGGATTTTCAAGGGGAAGAAATTGATTTTTCCATTTGGCTTTCTGGGGAAGTATCTGTGTCCAGTGCTAAAAAATCCTGTTCCATAGATGTGGAATTCCATCAAAAGTGATCAGTCTTAGCATCTTTCCTCTAGTTTCATTTCTATGGTGTCTTCAATACCCACACAGCGTTGTCGAGCCTTTGTTAATGGACAGGCTGGACAAGTGGCAAAAAGAAAATGGATATAGCTTAGTGGTCTTTCTCAGGGATCTGATGAGAAGTCTCATACCCTCTGAGGCA